TTTGAGGTAGATCTGGTTTCCTCTCAGCACAGATACTTTCTTTAATTTATCACCGTACATTCTTGAATAAGAATATTTTTGTGCGTAGCTAGGTGATTTCTTTATAAGGTAGCCAAGGAAAGGTATTTTCCTAGTACTTGAATGAGTTATTAGTGTTTTCTCTGAGCTTAAAGTTAGTTTTAGATCTTTCAGGAAGTCAGTAGATTTGTTTTTTATATCTATTGCCTCGTTTTTTGGACCTATTATTGTTATTAGAAAATCATCAGCATATCTAACGTAGTGCATTCTTATAAATGACGGGTCTAGATACTTGAAGTATGCTACTTTTATAGCTGCCTGTACACCGAATTTTCTGTGTAGTCGTACATATTCTGGGTTTATTTTCCGATTTTTACCTTTGTTGTAACTTAATATATAGTTTTCCATGAATATATCAAATTCATGTAACAATATATTTGATAATAAAGGACTAAGAATAGAGCCTTGAGGAGAACCTAGATCGGATATAGTTGCCATTTTTCCTTCTTCTTTGACTCTAGTTTTTATTAGATTATAAATCAAACTAATGAATCTAGGATCCTTAATCTTCTTGTTCAGAATTGATACAAGGATTGTATGTCCATATTATCGAAGAAACCTTTTATATCTCCTTCGATTGCCCAAGTGTATCCATTACTTTTCTGTTTGACGTGTCTTAGACAAGTAAGGCAACTGGGTCTAAATCCATGAGAGTGGTTAGAAAAGATTGGTTCATATATTACTTCAAGAATAGATCAAACTACTTCTTGTATTATTCTGTCCTTAAATGGAGGAATACCAAGAGGTCTCATTTTCCCATTAGCTTTAGGTATAAATAATCGTTTAGTTGTTCCAAAAGTGTGAATACCATTAACTAAGTCGAATTTTAGAGAATTTAAACTGTCAAGACTTGTCCCGTCAATAGTTTTGTTGTCAAAGCTCGATGTAGTCGATCCCTTAGAACCACTTAATTTTATATAAGCAGCTGTTCACAAGTTTATATCTTGTAAAAGTTTTCATAAACCTTCATTGATAAATTTAGGATCATTTTTATTTCCATTTCATAGTGTCTCCAATCTTTTGGCAACCTTAGTGTCATTCCATGACGGCGCCTTAGATAGAGTCGAGTATGACTGAGTGTTTTTTAGATACCCAGTATTTAGCCTCCTTTCTCTTGCGAGTACTACGGGGCCTCCGCCCCATAAGTAACGTCTAGTATTAGTAGTCCGCGCAACTAAGTTGCCATGAAGTTTTACCTTCACTTCGTTATGGTTCACCAGTGTCGCACTTTGCTGATTAGCTAAAAGTTTTAGCTCTGTCCCGTCAAGGAAGTTTTCCGATCTTTTCTTTCTTATTGAAAGTGTCGTAAGTTTTGTTATTATCGAGCTATTACAGAAACTTATAGCTCGCAACTTACATGGCAGTAGTCCGCAAAACGGTTTGATCATAAGCCATCGGTCCACAGTACCCGAACTTATCTCAACTTCACAAATTACCTGTTTTCCTTGTCGTGACTCATTTCCTCGATCGGAGGCCAAGGATAGATCCCATCCAGTTCCGACCTTCACCGGCAGGCTATTGTCCTTTAATAAAGTTCATTTATTAGAGTAAGCCGATTGGAATTCGGTTAAATAACCTGAAAGCGATCTACTCTTAGTAATTAAATCTAAAAGAGATAATTCAAAATGCAACCGAACGGTCGCCCTTGAGGGAAAATCTATTACACTGATAGTCTCGTAACTGATATTCCATTACCTGAGAAATACATTGGTAGTGAATTAGGAAAATTCAAATTAGTAGCCCGGAGGGCTCTATAAAATTCTAAGAGGTTATTTTATTTCTTCTAAATTATATGGTATTGTCATTGAAATGAAAATAATAATAAGGAAGAGTTTATTGTAAAATCTAGAGGAGTCAATCCAGCTATGCTAACAGAAGAAGACTTTAAATTATTATTAAAAGGTGAAGAACTAAAGCATGGTGTTAAAAATTATTCTAAAAAATATTACTCAGAAGGATACGTTAGTATTGGAATTAAACCGGATGTACTTATTAATCCTAATAATTATCGTAAAAGAATAAAAATCTTTGATGCTAAAAAGCAATGGGTTGACACTAAACCATTAATCATTAGTACAGAAGAGTAGTTCATTCTTATTAAAAAATATATAGAAAATATAATTAGTGGCTGCTACGAAGTCGGCTAGCTTCGCACGCATTTTTTAAATAATATATTTGGAGCGGAGCGCAATACGAAAATTTAACTAGTTAGTAAAAGGTAGCCTATATGGGCGAGGGTGTGGTAAGGGGAAACTAACAAAACTAAATAAACGAAAATAAGTCTATTAGCTATATTTAAGGTTTAATCAGAACGATAGTGGTAATTATTAATACTAACTAATGAGAAAGAATTAATAAATAATCTAACCAAAGTATGTTTGTAAAATTAGTAGTGTTCTAATTTAATCGAGGTATGAAAAATTAGAGGGGCTAGTGAGGATATGAAAATTAATTAGATTAATAGACAACCCTTTATTTTTGGAAATGTCACCATTAACTGTACTCAAATAATAAAGTTTAGGTGAGATAAATATAGCCTTGTATATTTGACCTCCAAGGTAAGCACCTTTTTCTCCAAGAAAGGTCTAATAGTCACTTCCTCTAGATTACTTTTAGTTCATCTAAATTGAGGAGGCATTTTTACTCTAGAAAGTATACGAAATTCTCCGTCATTTAAATTTAACGGATTGATATCCGAAAACTTAATAAGAGAAGTAGAAAATCTACGAGTCTTAGAGTAAGGCCTATATAAAGCAACAGGGTTGCTTCCATATGTTGAATTAATCATCACAAGGGCATTACCTTTAGCTATAATAGTAGGCTTAGCCACTTTAGAATATCTAATATTGTCTAGACGAGATATATATTGAATAGGATAAAATATAATTTTAATATAATGGTATGAATCTATATTACGAGTCTTCAATAGATCTTTTTCAAGATAGGGATGAACAATATACTTGATATGTTGCATAAATTTATCCAAATTATTTAATATAAACTCTTGATTTAAATTGTCAGCAATAATAGGATCAAGTTTAATATTATATTTTTGTGCGCAGCCACTAATTTCTAAAAAAACGCAATACATAAAATTAGGCTGTAAAGACTCAGAAAAAATTAATTTTCATTGATTAATTTTATTAATGGAGACTCTATCAACCTCAACGTGATTGAAGAAAATAGCAGTGTGTGGCACAAAAATAGTGACAACATTTTTAAAGTAAGGTGAAACTTTAAACTTACCTTTAGGATTACAATCTTTAATAACAATAGCTTTAATGCTATTATTGTAAGAAAGTAAAGGTAGAGTAGGTAAATGAATATTCATAGAATAGAAACGTTTAGTAAAAACAAGTGGAGCAGTAAAAAAATAAAAATTAATCATAGTAGGTTCATTTCTACTCTAGAAAGTACACAATATTCACCGTCATTAAACGGATTAATCTTAGTAAACTTAAGTTGGGAGGTAGAAAATCAACGTATAGTAAAGTAAGAACTAACCAATTTATTTACTTTTTTGTTCTAACGACAGGGTAGGGTAGCGGTAGGCGAAATAAATAATATTTATAAAAAATATATAGATAACATCGCAAGTATAAAAAATAAATAATAAATAATAGATAGAATTATTAAAAGGACTTTAGATAGGGAAAAACCTTTGGATAAGCTGCTTTTCATGCTGTATTTACAATTATAAAAATTAGTAGTAAGGGTTGTTAGTCCTCGAACTAGAGTTGCCACCGTGTTTCTCCTGATGACATCTACATTACGGGATTTGTTTTCTATTAATTTTAGCCGATGTAATTAGCTTTTGGATTAAGATCTTTCATTTTTCGAATATGATGTAACGCGATAGTCCGAACCCTAACCTATTTTTTTTTATAAATACTAAAATATTAGTATTGATTACCGGATTGTAATTAGTTTTGAACTTTAAGGTTATAGCTGCTGGCTGGGTTTTTTTGTATTTTTTGTATTTTTAAGCTACGCCCTTTGTTTTTACCCCTTTAACATTGTTTAAGTGGGGACAAAAAATGCGCAAGCCACGAAGCTTCTCTTCTCTTTTAATAAAAAAGACAAAAGCAAGTGGTTTTTCTTTTTGTTTCCTTTTTTTTTTTGTTAAAAAAAAAAGCCGAAAAGGAGAAGCTTTCTTTCATTTTTTTAAGGCGCAAGCTCCATAAATTTTTAATGGCTTCGCCCAAAATGCGCGCCAAAGGGCTACGAAGTCGCGCAAGCTCTAAAATGGGGGGCTAGGGAAAAATAATAGTAATTAAGGTACTCTGACTACTGAGTTATACAAGCTAATGGATAGTTCTATGATCGTTGCGTAATCATAATAAATTAGGACTAGGTTTTGTTATTCAGAAATGGCTGGCTAGGCTATCGTTGGACGATTGGGGGTGCGCAGCTACTTAATGGATGAGCTAGTCGTCTTTTAGATCTATTAAATCTTTTCATTAAGTATTAAGTAGTTTGATTACATCTGGTTAAGTAAACACTTTGGACGTTGATTCGAAGATTAGTCTTGCAACTGACCCAAAGGAATGTAGAAGACAGACATAGTAGATAAACTTAACCTTGTTTTGTTTCTAGTTAGCTTACCTTACATAGAAGTTATTAGCTAACTACGCAGTAGGAGGCGGAGGGATTGAACACGGTGATTACATTTTATTGCAAATATATAGGTTAGCCTAGCCTAATTCAGGATTTCGTCGTTATATATTACTATTAGAGCTACAAACTTTGAAATAAAAACACAGAATTAAGCATTATCTTCATTAGTTTTATATACAAATTAAAGTAATTAATAAAGGAAAGAAGAAACCTAATATCATCTAACAAGCTCAAGTAACTCAATTGGTAGAGTGAAATATTGAAGCTATTTTTGTTGTAGGTTCGAGTCTTACCTTGAGCAACAAGGAACTTTAGTATAATGGTGATTGCATATGACTTTTAATCATTAAGATGTGAGTTCAATTCTCGCAAGTTCTAAAAGTGGCACAAAGGCTAAAATATAATTAGGTACATTTGTGTACTATTACGGGAGGCTTATATATTTTCTTTAATTTAAATGCTATTTTTTTTATTTTTTCTTTAAACTATTACAAGGGGGGCTAACATCTCCTAGTAATTAGGGTGAACGCTGTAGTGTAAACTTCATCGCTGTTATTAATTGAGAGGAGCTATACCTAAAATTAAGAATGAATAGCTATAATTAAAAAAAAGATATAGACCTCTTGGTTTACTAAAAATATGCTAAAGAGTTAGTCTTTTTCTTTTGTGTCTTGTACACAACTAAGTTTAAGCATCATAAGCTTTTTCTAGTCAAACTGGGTTTTCGAAGTGTTAGTGGGCGGGTGCAATACTTCTTAGCTTAATCTCAGCTATCAAAAAAAAATTGACTCTATAATTAAAAAAAAGATTCTTGATTTAATTTATTAATTTTTAGTGTATTCTTATATTGAAAAATGATATGAATCTTAATACATCGCTTTTTTATTGTATAAATAAGATAATTGAGCGTATTAGGTTAATATAATTTTATTTATTAGAAGAATTGTAATAGAATTTATCTAGTATTCTATGAAGATTATTACACATTATAGAGATTTCACTAACTAGTACTGTATATCAAAATATTATAATATTAATATGAATTACATGGCTAACTTGCAAAATGTTTCACAATGCGTTAAAGATATAACAAAACCATTTACTATTATAGATAAGATTCCTTCAATTGAAGAAGGCTTAGGTTTATTATATCCAATCTTTTCCAAATTTACACTACTATGCGGAAATTTACTACATTGATTGTTAATGTTTTTTTTTATAATCTTAGCTATCGTCATTACAGCAGGTTTAATAAAAACTATGATAAAAACTAGCTTCAACCCTTTCAAAAGTTTTTTTTTTAAAAGAAAACTTAGCCTCCAAAACCTTTTCAAAGGTGTTTTCTTTAGATGAAGAAGACCATTAGAAAGATGATTGAAAGCAGGAGCACAAGTCGGTACATCTCTCGGAGGTGGAGCTACATTCTACGACATCGCAAGACGAAACCGTGGAGGTAATAGTGCCGGAGGAGACAATAACGGAAACAGCGGAGGAAATAATAACGGAAACAATAACGGAAACAGTGGTGGTAATAATAACGGAAACAGTGGTGGTAATAATAATAGTGGTGGTAATAATAATAGTGGTGGTAATAATAATAGTGGTGGTAATAGTGGTGGTAGTGACAAAAAATAAA